GCATAACGCCACTCGACCTGCTCCGTCCGTACACGCTCCCGTTGCTGTCCTTCCCAGTCGGTTCCTCGCTTTCTCCCTCGTTGCACTCAAGGTTCTTGGTCTGAAAAGTCAGTACGCCTTTGAAAACCATCAAAGTGGTTGAACAGCTTTGCGCTCCTCTGTCAGCATCCAAGTGTTGGTTGTTACAGCCATACACCATAGGGTCTAGATTGCCGCTACACCGCAATCCCTTACAACGTGTACCAGTGGCCACCCGTGTGTATTTTGTGTAGAAAATTATAACGCCGAAACAAGGTCCAGCAGGCGGTGTGTCACCGAGCGCCCCTTGTTGCTACTCTATCATCGACCAGGTATATTTATTCGAGCGAAGCGAGTTTTTTTTTTTTAACCGCTCCAGTCTAATAAAGGTTTGCACGTGCGTTTGTCTTTAACTTGGTTTTAGCGAGGATAACTTGGTGGTAGACCACAGGGGTCAGAAAAAAATGCGCTTTTTTTATTTTTTATTTTTTTATTTTTCTTAATATGACACAACGAGTCCATCTCTGTCATAGAAAAGTCACACTGCTGTGAGCGGGCTGCAGCAAGGAACACACGCACTGCGGAACTGTGGGCGACACCACAGCGCAGACAACACACGCACAGCAGACAGCGTACGCATAACAGCCGACACACACGCACAGCGGGCGACAGCATCTGAGCTTGATGCCGCTGGACTCTCTCATGGTGTGATGAGGCCGCCATGCATTGCTGCTGCTGTGTCTCGCATGTTTTTTTTTACCGCGGCGTGCAACTGCGAGCAATGTTAGCACAGCACCACATTATTAGTTCTCGAAACCTAGTATGCTGATCGACATCGCACCACTTCGAGCGTGTGCTCCATTGTGGTGTCTCTGGGCATTACAGTTGTGTTGGGCATGGAAGCTGTATGTGGCGAGAGCATCGTGGCGATGTGGCCCGATTGCTCGGGGCAAAAAAACGGTTTGGATTCCACGCCGCTACGAACATCTTCCCACCCACAGCAACCATGCCTAGCACGTCTGTCAAGCCCCGATATATCGCAATGGAGCACACCCTCGAAGTGGTGCCATGACGATTGGCGCACTAGGTGACGAGAACTGACCTGTGTCCTGCTGTTTCGCTGGCAGTTGGAAAAACACCAAACCAATGGTATATGACAATAACAATCAAGGCTTAATTGCTATTGCCATATACCATTGCACCTATCTATGGTATATGACTACATACCATAGCATTGCACAAATAAGACGGAATAGGGGGTTCAGCAATAGTATGCTTCGAGTATGTAGGACCACGAAAGCGGGATGTGGACGGGAGGGGGCGTAACCGGTAGGTGAAAGAGTATCACAGATCTCACACCAGCACAGCAGGTAGGTGTAGTATCAAGTGTGTGGTGTTCGCACTCTGTTTCCGCCCGTGGACGCACACGTCTGACGATAGTTACACCTATCAGCTGTCGCTCGTTGTAGCGACACCTAGTATATCTTCTTGTTGTCACTCGTCGGTGAGGAGCTTACATGAGCGATGCTCATCAAATCAAGAGCTTCTGTATGTTGTCATAGAGCCATAACCGTGCCCCAGTTGCAAACGAAATCCAGAACAAAAAAAAAAGAACAAAAAAGCTCTCTCTGTGGTGGTCCGTCCGTCCGGCGGCCGGTGATGAGCCCGCGGGTTTGAATATTAGTCTACCGTGTTGAAATCTGAAATCACACATCAATTGGCGACGCCGCATCACCGCCCTTTTCCACTAGCGCTGCCTTGGTTCTTTCGCCGACCGTACTCTGGCATCGGTGGCCCACCCAGAGAGAGAGAGAGAGAGAGAGAGAGAGAAAGAGAGCGAGAGAGAGACGGGGGGAAGAGAGCCTAGCGATTTAGGAGGAAGGAAGAAGAGGTGAGGTTTCCATTTTCATGATCGAAAGCGACTGTTCTTCTCGGCGCCATTACGAACGAGAGAGAGAGACGGAGAGGGTTAGAACGACCAGACTCGCTGGGAGAGGAGCAAGTGAGAGGAAGTGGAGCCTAGCTTAGCCCCATGGGGTCAAAGGCGGAGGAGCCTGGTGGGGGGGGAGGGTCGATCGACATCCACCTGGCAGTAGCGCACAACCGGGAGGACCAGATCAAGCAATACGTCGATGCTGGAGGAGACTTGGACAAGAGGGACGGGAACAATTTGGCGCCATTGCACATAGCGGCCGCGGGGGGGTTCTGCAACGTTGTCGAGTTCTTGCTCAAGCACAAGGCAGGGTGAGTGGGGCCGCGGTGCTGATACTGCTGCTACGGTGGCGGCGTACATGCTACGGCGGCTGTAGTACGGTGGGGCGCGTGTGATTTCTTGTTCGTTCCCTCTGCGTACCTAACAGTAGTCTGCTGTCGCAGCTCGTTGCCGAAACAGGTGAGACTGCTAAGCAAACACGCAAACGCTTTGTTTTGCTTACAGCGCTCTCTCTCTCTCTCCCAGCGCATGTGGCCGGTGATATAAACGCACTAGCTGTGTCGGGGCAGACGGGAAACTTCGGTGCTGTTGCCTTTGTCCTGCAAAGGGATGCATAGACTATTATAGTGTCGAGCCGCGAGAGGTGCGTATGTACATGTCGCCGTGGCAATCAATCCACAGCAGCAGGCGGCTCATTCATCGTTCTCTGTCGTGAGTGTGAGTTGATTGATTACCTTCCACGGGGCCGGGAGCAATTAAGAGCGAGAAACAGCGCACCGCGGTACTGCTGTGCTGCGTGCGTGCCACCACAGGATTCTGTCGGTAGATTGGCGTGCGAGCAGGCCCTTCCTTCGTTGGATCGAATGGACAGCAGTTTTGTTCGCATTGCAACACTTCAGCTGCAAAACTGCATCCTTCTCTATAAATATTAAAATATGCTTCCTATTATGTCTAGTTGGCTGGTCTGTATCGTGAAGGCGGCAGAACCCCCTGTTTTCGGACTCGGTTGGTTGTTGATTTGTGCCCCCGAGCCTGTCTTTCTTTCGTTTGCCGCCTGGTTAAGCCCACAAAACCCGTACTGCAGCAGCATTAAATACCCACTTCCTCTTCAAGTCGGTGAAGAGGCGAAGGTCCATTACCATCGAACGCACGGCGCACACAACCATGGTAGTTCTCGGGCGCGTTCGGGTACTTGTGGCGTACATGTAGATTTACTTGTTGGTTTTTGCACCGCCGCAATTAATTTTTGGTCCATTTTTCGTCCTTCACATCGGCATCCGCACGCTACATTGGGGACACCTGTATGAGGGCACTTACGCTGCGTAGCGGTGCGGCGCGTCACTTGCAGCTTGTTCGCCGCCGTGTCCTCCCCCCTCCGCGCGCACAGTAGCGTTTTTTCGGCGTGGAGTGTCTACTTCAACAGTTTGCAAACTACCAACACCTAGTTTCCACGTAGTGGCCGCGTGCGTGAGCTACAGATGTCGCAAATAGCGACGAGTACATGTGCGTGGTAGATACCCGTTAAATTTATTTATTCCGCCGGTGCTACATGTACGTTAGGCGCTTTGGTTGACGCATGATTTACTTGCTTGAACGGTAGGCTCACCGCTCAAAAGGGGTTTTATCGTCACCGGCCGTTCCTCTGGAGATCTGACGGACCAAAGACAAAAGCGACATGAAACGTCTCGTGTACCTTTTCTTCAACGATGTCATTTCCTTGTCCGAGGAACTTCGCCTCGGCTTCAAGGATGCCTTATTAGCCGACAAGAATTCCCCTTCGTCGTGGAATACCTCCCGGCGTGCCGTAGTCTATCCTGGTGGGTGAGAGATGATTTGACGTATCTCTACAAGCCGTCTTTTACGTTGGCAGCCGGTTAGTGCGGTCGATGCTATTAGTCTACAGTTAAGAAAACAGACACACACACGTCCAGAGGGTCGTCCAGTCTCGCGACAAACATTCTTCTCCCCATGGTGGTTGTTTTGCTTATCCGCACCCCCGCGCATAACCGGGCGGTGACATGAACAGGAAAGATAGATGGGATAGGGGGAAATGCTGTGACCCACATTGGGCAAAAGGTAGGAAGGAACGATTGGCCATTGTTGAACGGTCCATTTCTCCGTCCTCTCGAGGGCGAGTAGTCAGTGGGCTAGCCGGTACGGCGTGAAAAACATACTAGTATGCCCCCCCCCCGCCCCCCTCCCTTTGCATATTATCGATATTGTTTTGGTTGCTACAGGGTGGACGTGACGAGCAAAATCGGGCACACGCCTCTTCACCTCGCTTGCCGATTCGGACACCTTCCAGTCGTCTTGCTCCTCCTCGCCGAGGGTGCGGAGCTAAACGCCAGAGATGCGGATGGGAACTCCCCTCTCCATAAGGTATGACGCGAGCAGCGACCGGGTCACGAAGGTGCCACCACCTTTGTCGAACGGCCTCTAGACCGACAACAGACTCGAGCGTTCGGGGACTTCGTTAGCCTAGGCGTCGTCGTCCCGGATCGCCGTTGTCACAGTTGTTCGAGCTACGTTCATGTAGCAACATCTACAATCTGCTTTTTCCATGGCGTAGTCTAACGCGGGGTGTTCACTATGTTGTGTTGTGTGCTTGCTTCTTTCTATGCACACCGTTTCTAATTCTGGTCGCGAAAGGTGGTGGCACCTTCGTCGAACGGCCTCTAGACCGACAACAGACTCGAGCGTTCGGGGACTTCGTTAGCCTAGGCGTCGTCGTCCCGGATCGCCGTTGTCACAGTTGTTCGAGCTACGTTCATGTAGCAACATCTACAATCTGCTTTTTCCATGGCGTAGTCTAACGCGGGGTGTTCACTATGTTGTGTTGTGTGCTTGCTTCTTTCTATGCACACCGTTTCTAATTCTGGTCGCGAAAGGTGGTGGCACCTTCGTCGAACGGCCTCTAGACCGACAACAGACTCGAGCGTTCGGGGACTTCGTTAGCCTAGGCGTCGTCGTCCCGGATCGCCGTTGTCACAGTTGTTCGAGCTACGTTCATGTAGCAACATCTACAATCTGCTTTTTCCATGGCGTAGTCTAACGCGGGGTGTTCACTATGTTGTGTTGTGTGCTTGCTTCTTTCTATGCACACCGTTTTTTATTCTGGTCGCGCTTTGTATTGTGCGCCATGTCATTGGGACGTTTTCTTCGTATGTGAGTGCGTTTGCTCGTCTGTGCATACCGTTGTCGCGCTTTGTTTCGTATGCTGATTTGTCTACCGCGTCTTGTTTGACGTGTTTTTTTTGCCGCAGGCCGCGAGCAACGGCAAGGCCCAGCTCTGCCGGGAGATGGTGAAGAGGGGGGCGGACATCGATGGCAGAAACAAGACCGAATACACTCCTCTGCACTGGGCTTGTTTCAAGGTGTGGTACACGCCGGCTTTTATTGAGACACCAGACCAAGGCGATTCGGTGCGCGTTGTTCTATCCAACAGTTTATAGGTTTCGGCGTTTCTTTTGGACTTGGCTGTTGCAAGCACTATCATCCGGTCCTCGTGTTGATCTGTTCGCTGGTTCTACGCTTGGGCCGACTGTTTCCCCGGGTCACATCGTATGCAGGGGTCGATTGCAACAATTTTTTACAAGGTTTCCCATGAGTGTCTCGCGCCTGTTGTGTGCCCGACGATGCGGGAGCGCACTGCCGAGGAATCCGCTAGAGCTGTTGCATCCCCTCATGCTCGGTTCAGCAAATGGGACCCAGCCGACCGTCCTTGCGTAATTTTTTACCGTTCCACGAGCGGGCACAACCGCGACCGTACCGAAGATTGATTTCCTTGGTGTGGGCGTTGGTGGTCAAAACAGGGGCACAAAGCCGCCGCGGAGCAGCTGCTGAAGTGCGGGGCGAACATCGACGCCACCAGCTCGAGGAGAGCGACGTCGCTTTTCATGTCCACCTACTACGGACACGTCGATGTCACGTTTCTTCTCCTCGCGTGGGGTAGGTTCTGGCATTCTAGTACAGAACACGCCCATAGTTATGAGCTTAGCTGTTGAGAGCGTGAGCCTAAAACCGAAAATGTATGTCCAAGAACATGTTGTCAATAAAGTCAGGTGTTCACCCTAGCGGTCTACAAGAAAACCTATGTTGTTGACGTGGCGTACAGTACCCCATCGACAATACATAACACGAGCTTCAGCCAAAAGAAAGAGGTTCTTAAGTGATGGCGCGTTCCGTATTCGAAGAATCTCATTCTGCCACAGTTTTTTTGAGGGCCGCTCATGGGCATTCCGTAGGTACTTTTCTTGTTTGTGTGTTGCCATTTTGACTCCCACCCCCCAAGCAGTCCCGGCTTTGTAGGGATGCGAGGTCAATGGTCTAACGACTNAAGCCAATTCACTTCGTGAGCTCGGCAACCAGGATACCGTATTTTGTTCACCTCTGTTTTTTTTGGCGGTAACCATACTGGTGGTCGAGTGGATCATGTTGTGCGGGGTGGAGAACCCTCACTCCGCGCAAGGGGGATGAATCGCACCACGTCGTTGTAAAATGGTCAAGCACCCTCGAGGCAGTTACAAGTGCTTACAACTCTCTCTGGAAGTGAAAGCACCAAAAAATAAATTAAGTCACACGCAGCTGTCATCCGTATGCAAGTAAGTGAGCACAAGATGCCGAACACCCTTAGCAGGATGCAACGCACCCTTCATGCGACTCGCCGAATATCTCACGGCGCTTCGCGCTTGGTGATGTGAGAGCCTGGTCCGGTGAGAACCCGGCGTGCTCCGTCCCGG